CAAGGCTGGAATAGTTGAATTACCAATAAATTATAAGACAACAAAAAATAAAAAAAATTAAAAAGCAGAAGCTAAGAGGTTTTTTCAAGTCAATTTAAAATGTGACAAAGTCCAAATTTCTTTAAAACAGGACAAAAATGCCCTTACAGTACATGTCTTCCTAGTTCAAATACAGGGTGCCTGGTACATGTACATGTACATTAATGCAGACATTTTGGACAAGAAAGAAATACTCCTTCAGCATCAAAACTGCAAAATTGGAATAAAAAAAATGAACATGTATACTTTGAGAATACTGTATTTTACTAGCATCAATGCATATGCCATGTCTTCTCACATTTAAGTTTTATCAAAGTTTACTTTTACAAGGTGTAGTACTTTTCTGTCTGACGCCTTAACGTTTGTACCTGGTATGTACATGAGTACATGTAACATCGATCATTCAACTGATAATTGTCACAGAATTTACTGAAATAAAGCTTTCCTGATCACATTTGACTAATACCTACATGTATGTCCCCATTGTTGTTGAGACTAGCCAATGAAAACCTGTTCCAATGCCAAAGTTGAGGAAAAACCATCTGCTCCAATCACAGAAATTACTGTAGATGCAAGTTAAGGATGTCCACCGAATGCTATTTCCTCAGTCCAAACAAACAACAACCTATACTCAAGAGATCCTTCTTGAAGACCATCCAAGCTCTTATCCAAAGCACAAGTTGAAATGGAGAGTATGACAAGGACTAACATCTAACTTTGTGTGGTCTATCCGGGGCTCAATGTATGGGCAAATGTAGCCTGGGGTGGGAACAATCCCAGTTGCTCGAAAACTTGCCGTAACTGACAGCACAGATGGTCAGGGAACTCAACCATGCAGACTCGAGTCTAAAACTGCATACACGAACTTGATATCCTATTTCCACCACCACTGCCACCTATAATGAATAACATATCTTTTCAAAATGGCGTCGGGTCGAGAAGTGCTGTCAACTTCCTCAGTTCTGCCCCGCGCCTTCCTGTTTTCTAATCAGAGCTATTTCCTCTCAGCCCTGGTAAACCCAACCACAGCACAATCATCAGGATAAGTCAACCGGGACTACTTTTTTCCCTTCTCTAGATGTAACCACTGGATGAGAAACGTGAGTCTATCCATTGCAATGACTAAAAGTTTGATGGCTTTAGCATATTTTCCATCAGGAGATACAGAGGGGGGAAAAAAGCTGGACAGCGAGTCATTGATTTCTTCTGTCAGTACATGTATGTACATGTAATACCCAACTCTACATTAAAGGACTAGTTGGTTGTTGGGTAAGAGTATATCACACTGGCACACGGTGTACATGCACCTGTACGGTACATATACATGTTTGGGAAAACATCATGATGTAACTTGACGTGCAGCAACTTCCACATGTATGCGTACACAGAAAACTTCAGGTGAGTTTCTTTGTAGTCTTTCTTTGAAAGTCAAACCTGTGACTGACATTCCGAATGCAATGGAATGCAGACATGTGTACAAATTACACTGATCTGGAGAACGAGGTTTCAAATGGTAACAATGGTTACTACAGTACATGAAGGGAGCAACTTTATTTATTAGTTGAAGGGAAACACGAACTTGAACAGCAAAGTCTGTTGCAATGTAATTCCAGGAAAAATTCATCATGACATATGTACCGGTATTACCGTAGATGATAATAGTAACTGGGTTTTTCCCTTGTTCTGCAAGTACAAATATGTAAACATTTGTGATGTACATGTACATGTACATGTATGTACAGTAGGCCTACCCTGTGAGGTACAGTAGGCCTACTTCATGAAGTACAGTAGGCCTACCCCGTGAGGTACAGTAGGCCTATCCCGTGAGGTACAGTAGGCCTACCCCGTGAGGTACAGTAGGCCTACCCCGTGAGGTACAGTAGGCCTACCCCGTGAGGTACAGTAGGCCTACCCCGTGAGGTACATGTACTGTAGGCCTACCCCGTGAAGTAAAGTAGAGAGTAAAGAGCTACATGTACATGTACAGAACAGTTTGTAGCTTCTTTAAAATAAAGAACATGGAGTGGATAACATTTTGTTCATCAAAGTTTATCTGGAGCCTGGGCTGGAAAGTCAGGAGGCAGTGAGTGCACTGTTGACCCTGTTGACGTCTTTCACGAGGCCGCTGCATGCTGCATGCACTTTTAAATCTGGAGGTCAACACTCGGCACCTTGAGTCAATATTGAGATCTTGCAAACACAGCAGACTCCAGTTAAACAAATTTTGACTGACTGTGAAAAAAAAATTAACACCTTTCAAGCCCAATAATTCACTAAAACTACCACCTTTATACTGCTAATGAATTTTTAAACTGAAAGCACATGGTTTATTTTAAGTACATGTACAGTGCCAGTAGGGCTGTGCCGAATATCCGAATAACTGAATATTCAATTGATTATCAAATAATAACTGTTTTTTTTTTCAAATTGGAATATTCAAATGCAAAATTCATGAAAAGGAAGGGAAAATTTTCCTTTGTTTTAAATGAAAAAATTGCATTATGGAGGCTTGTTTCAAGCAGATTCTAAGGAAAAGTGTCAGAAATCTTACAATGATTTGAAAGTATATTATTCAATAAACAATTAAAAAGGAATAGAAATTTTCAACAGGGCAAGAAGTCTTGTTCATCTCTTAGATCTTGCTAAATCCTGGCTGGAGATACTCCTACATTTGGGAAGCTATTAGCCCTAACTACCCAAGGGTTGCTGGACCTAACCTTCCCCATTCTTACAAAGTTAAACACCCATATGGGACTTTGTGCACAGAGGCTGTTGGACTTACTTTTTCTAAGGTACATGTACGCTAAACCTAATGCAAAAGCCAGCTGGCCTACCAGACCTATCCCCACAGAATTAAACACTTTACTACTGTTTAATTCTGTGTGATTGGGGAAGGTTAGGGTTAGAGTGATTATAATGTACACTTGTGTGTGTTATTTCAACTGATTTTGTATATACATGTAATTTGTTCATTAACAATCGGCGACTGAATATTCGGACATTCAATCAAATTGAAGATCAAATATGTGAATAGTGAATTTATTCGAATTGAGTCATCTCTAAGTACCAGTACTGCACATGTAAAATAAAGAATGCACAGAGCAATAGGCATGATAGGGGTGCAATATGGATTGATATTGGTATGTCTAACACTGCACATACATGTACATGTACATGTACATATCATGTGATTCCTCTTCACTGTTAGTCATTGTGAGTCAAGGTTGCTGCAAGTAGCTGTCTGAGTCTGACTTTTTTTTCACATTTCTTACTGGAGACATTTTTACATGATCTGCAAGAACACGATACCTATCACATTGACCAGTTCACTGTTATTAATGTGTACAATGCGTGTACGCACATGTACATGTACATTTTTCACATGTTACACCTGTGCACGGACAAACACAATGTAGAAACGAACAATACAGCACACATTTTATCACACACAAATGACCAAAGACCATGCAAACTTGACACTGGTAGTCACATAACAGTTCACTATACAGCGTACATGTACATGAATGCGTAAGTCAGACTTTGAAAGTACTTTTCTGTCTCGTATGTAGGTGTACCATTACAACATTAGTGTGAATAGATGGGGTGATTTCCATAATAATGTACACACACATACATGTACACTGTACATGTACATGTACGTACACAAACCTTAATTATCTTCAAAGATTGCTACGCATACAGTATATGACAATCACAAAAAGTCACTTAATACACACAGAGTACAATTTACCAATGAAAATGTAATTTTATTAAGTCAACATGAACACTGCAAAGCGATTTCTTCTAACGGTACGGTAAGCCACAATTTTATCCCTTTTGAAATGATCCACTGTACATGTACCGGGTACATTCCGTAATCAGGGCCCAATTTCATAGAGCTACATGTACTTAAGCATAAAGTGCAAGAAAACCTTGCTTGATAAATCATGCATGTGATGTACCGGTATATTGTTTTGAAATAATATTCAGCTGTCTTTTGGTTAGCATGATAATCTCACAGAGTTTTAACTGGTAACCTTTGTTTTTTCAAGCAAGGTTTTTTCACGCTTAAGCAGATTTTGTGCTTTTGAAAGCAGCTCTATAAAATGGGCCCCATGCAGATGAAGTGCTTTTACATGTACATTGTACATGTACGGTACCAGCAGACAACTTGTTATTCTTTCAACTGGTCAAATCTTACCATTGGCACAGGATGAAGAAAGGAGAGGTTAATTCCTTCCTTGTCCCTAATTGTGCGTGAATTCATGCGATTTCCCTGAAATTGTGTAAATAATGTATGGCATACACTGTATTGGTACATACAGGTACTATGATGTATGTACCGGTATACATGTACATGTACTTGTACACGTGTACATGTATGTATCTGTTATTCCAATGGCCAGGCATCATGTACATGGACGGTAACTCAACCTGACGTGCTGTTTTCTTGGAAGCTACTAGTAAGTTTAAGAAAAACATGCCAAAGCAAACTTAATAATGTGATTCACATGACCAGTAACCTTGCCGCTAAGATGACTTTCACGTACATGTACATGTGCATGGACATGTAATGTGCATGTGCTTGACATTTCTCATTACCAGCATAATGATCATAACAGGAGCAGATCACATGCATTCTTTACTGTGAGCTAACATTTTTGAGGAAAAAGTATCCACATTAATATTGTTACGCCCCAACTATAGCATCAGTCCCAACTATAGTTGGGCCCGTCCCAACTATAGTTTGGCCCGTCCCAACTAGAGTGCTACAGTTGGGCCAGCCCAACTACAGTAGAGAGGTCCTGTGTACATGATGTGCCCAGCATGTGCCAAAGTCATATTGTTTACAAATGTCACGTCATTGGTCATAGGGCTAGATGAACAGATGAAGTGCCACATTTTAGATGAATTGTGTCAAGTGTGAGACACATTGACTTGGATAATGTTGAGACATTTCCCACAAACATTGGTCAACAATAGTTGGGCCAGCCCAACTGCAGCACTACAGTTGGGACTGTCCCAACTGTAGTTGGGACTTATGCTATAGTTGGGCCGTAGCAATATCATTAGAGTTGTGATCTGCATGATCAGATACAATGTACATGTACATGTGGTGAACTGGAAAATATTCTTCAAACATTTTTTTTCAAATCTGGTTTCACCAAGAAAGCGTGTACGTGTGGTATGTGGTACATGTACTGTACAACCCATGTTCATGGCTTGACTTTGGAGAGCCTGTAAGGAAAGTGGACAATGCAAAACCAGGGCAATATTTACATATTGTTATTGGACTAATGCACATAAAAGTCTGTCTGTACACACATGTACACGTACATGTACACGTGTACATTGTACATGTACATGAGGGTATGCTCAAACGATACGGTTATACTTGCAAACAAAAATTGCACAACTTGTCTATCAAGTCTTGGCATCTTTTCGATGCCACACAAACCACTTTGGATAACTAGTTTTGTTTTGCATTTAACCCAAGTTAAACAAGCACCGGGTGGAAACTTCCAACCTTAGCAACTTGAACATCCTTTAGAACCCTTAAAAGAACGGTCACACTGCAGCATTTTGGATGACAAGCTACATGTACCTTGAATATCCTGCAAAATCTTTAAACACAGTTTGGCAAACCCAAAGTGCATGTACACAGGTAGTACTCAGCAAGTACTGTACGGTAGCATACTGTAGGTGTAGAAGTCAAATCCTATGCCTGTGTAAAGTTACACATGTAACATGCATGTACATGTGGTAATGGCTGTGCTGTATTACATGTTGTAGTCTTGAATAAAATCACAAACAAGGCCAAAGATACCGGTAGGGGTCAAGGCAGAGCTAGGAAAACTTGTCAAAAGTTGTAAAATCGGGAGCTTTCAACACTTTTCCTTAAAGGGGGGAGGGGAACTACATTTTTGTTGGACTTTGTCCAGACACTGAGTCAGACTTG